TCTTCTTCTCTTCTCTTGCTTCTGCGTTTCTAATACAAGCGATATTCAGTCTCTCCCTTCCAAGTCGCGGACATATACAACATATGATGCATGGGCACGGGATGTCACTGTTTCAGAGGTTTGCTCGGGAATGTTCCGACGGTAATATTGTAGTGATTCGAATACAGGGGGCGAAAAAACAAATGAAACATGAACAAAAAGAAACGTGGTACAGGGGAAGTGAACCTGCCATTACAGTGTTGAGCACTGCAGCTTGTTGTAGACCGGCCGCATCGTGCGCAATCTCTAAGAGAGGGTACGCATTGCAATACCATCGGCAACCTGCCTCCAAGCGGCTTGTGCGCAACGCGTCAACCTGCAAGAAAGGGTACACCTTGCACCATTACCGGCAACCTGCCTCCCAAGCGACTTGTGCGACGCGTGCCAACCTGCAAGAAAGGGTACAACTTGTCTCACCATAGGCAACCTCCCCTTAACCGACTTGTGCATGGGGCGCCAACCTCCAAGAAAGGGTGCCCCTTGCGCTGCCATCGGCAGCCTGCCCGCTGTCTAGCATGTAAGCAGTGCACCAACCACAAGAAATGGCACACCTTGCACCGCCACCGACAGCTTGACCCCTTCCCGGCTTATTAGCAGCGCACCAATCAGCAAGAAAGGGTACACCTTGCGCGGCCACCGGCAGTTTCCCCCCTGTCCAGCTTGTTGCCAGCGCACCAACCACAAAGGAAGGGTGCACCTTGCACTACCATCGGCAACATGCTCCCTATCCGGCTTGTAAGAAACGCGCAACCTCCAAGAAAGGTATATCTTACACAACCTGGCCATCGTTGCATTGCAAGGATTACCTAAGGTGGGGAGGTTGCAACTCGTGCCAAAATAGATCTCGATTCAGGTTGCCAACAGTGCCCCTACAACCCGGTGTGTTAGCCACCCGTGATGTGTGGTGTGGGGAAGGTTTGCTGGTTTGGAGTACTTGTCGGGGATGAACTATTTTCTCCGACGCTAGTTGCTTTTATTTTTTTGTGTTTGAAATGTAAAGTCGCATCTTCGATCACTTTCTAAATTTGAATATGGTTGAGGATAGAGTATCTGCATGTACGACTTCCCAGGGTGGGCTAATGTAATGGAGCAACTAGTGTATGAGCGTGGAATGATCATGACATCATGACATGGATATTTTGTGTTTTCGTTGGTCGCTGTGATTAACATTCCAACCCCCGCCCTCTCTAATTGTGAGCGCGGAACGAGGGCTAGGTTTGAAGAGGATAAGACATGAAATGCAACAACAACTGCTGTGAGTAAGCCAGCAAGGAGCAGCGGACCTGCTCCCTTCCCTTTTATTTCCTTGTTCCTCCATTCCAAAACGCTGTGTGCCCTTGCACTGTTGTCAGATATTTTCCCCCCCAAACACGTAAGAGACATCACCAGCGGACAATGAGTTGATTTTTTCTGCACAACCAAAGCGCAACATACATTCTGCATGTCTTCGAGAGGCCGCAGAGGCAACAAACACCTCGCACGTCAACTGTCGACTACGTTCGACTGACTCTGGTATGGACAGAGACACATGAATTATAGGCTCCTCTGTGCATCAATGTTGTGTCTAGAGGTAGACTACATGGCAGTAGTCTGTTCATCGTCGTCATCTATACCAATACTGGTACATCTTGGTAAGTGGTGTATTTAATCCGGCTGTGTTGGCCGTATACATGATGAGCGCGCGAAAAAAAATTATGTTCGAATTTTTCTTGAATAGTATAGACTAGAGTCGCCCGGAAAAAAATCAAAGTTTTTCCGTCCAACATTTTCACACTCCAAGATGGCTTGTAAGGTTAATTCGTTAGACTGCAATTCCTTGCTCACAGGGACACGGCCGTAAACAACAAGTCTACGTTTTGTTCTGTACCAGGGTGTCTCAGCAGTGTAGACTATGTCTAGACACTGATAGGCCTGTCTGTGTTTTTTTCTCCGAGGAGAATGAAATTGTTTTGAGTCGAAATCCATCCACTCTCGCTCATCGTCGGCAACGAAAGTCAGAGGCGGGGCGAACCACTAAAAAAATCGTACGTTGAGCAGAACGCTGCATATTATGTGCACTGCACACAAAAATTGTAGCGTATGATCCACACGCGCAGCACCTACTGACCCCGAATTCGTGCTCCTGTTGGGCTGTTGGGCTGCGAGTAGGTAGGCTGTTTGGATCAAGTGCGGATGTTGCCAACGAAATATTGTACATCACACAGGTAAGGTCACCAGGAGACAGTAGACTGGTAGCACAAAAAAAATAGACGTTCCATCAGACACGGTGAGCGATACGAGAGTAAAGTGACCTCTTCGTGTCGCCATTTCCTGCTAACAATGAACAGCTACACTATACAAGGACTTCTGCCGGTAAAATCTGCTGGGGCCCTGAATCGTGTGTTAGTCGGACACACGAGTCTAGTCTACTTCGCGATAACACGATCACATCCTTTGCTGCTACCCTACCGGATGACTTACCAATCCCAACGTTACCATCGCGAACAGGGTCTCCAGCGGCCCCTGCTTCCCCTCCGTGCAGAACGAGCCCTTGCTTCCGCCGGGATGGCGCAGCTGGCAGTTGGAGCAGGTCGGAAACTCGCTGTTATCTATCGCTTGCCGGAGAGACTCCAAGCTGCTGCTCGAACCACGGGTAGCATTGTCATAATCATGTTTTTTTGCACATGAATTCGTCAGCAGGGCAGGATCCTCCTGCTCCATCTTCGAACGTTCATCCCAAATTTCCTGCTCTCTCATGGCTGCTCAAAGCGGAAGTTGTAAATGCTAACCCTCTCTCTCTCGCTGAGGATCCTCTTGTTGACGCCGCGGACAATCTGCACGCAGTTAGCTGGCTCTTTCCTGAAAATGCCCTACCCTGGGTGCCGTGTGTTTGGCGTCTGTCTCCCACGCCTTCTATCCGCTCAACCGCTCTGTTTGCAGGTCCTTGTGTTAGTCTGCTGTCCTGAAAGCAGCGCGTACTGCACGGAAATCTTCAAAGGTCGTGAATAAAAGTTATCAGACTCGTCGACGCATGTTTCGGAATGAAAGGATGGTGTCTTGTCTGTGTGCACGTGAAAGGAGAAGAGGAACGAGCGAGCAAGCGAGCGAGCGGCAGGGGGAGAGGGCGGGGGAGAGAGATTGATGACACACCCAATTTTTCAGCCAATCAAAACGCTATGGTTGTGAATCGCGGAGGAACTCTTCCGATGATACAGCTGTAAGTCGTAAGTCAGAGAAATCTAGCCGCATGGAGGGGAAGATGTGAAGAATCATCAAACATCAATAGACCGGCGGAAGGATCGATTTTGAATGTGGGAAACGATTTGTAGGTAATAAAGACAACCAACTCATGCTTCTCGGCAATTCGTACATGTATGTTCAGGTACAAGCAGCGTAGTACGTAGACGCCGGCGTGCGCAAGCACCCGCACGGGGGTGAAGGAATGAAGGTTTTGTTGCGATGCAGAATATTCACTTAGTCTACATCTACATCTGTAGACTACTGCTGTAGTAACCCACACAACGCTCCTAGAAAAGGCAAATGAACGAGTCCCGCTCCACCGGCAACAACGCGTGTTCGCATGAAGCATGACGCAGAGCGCCGTGATTCTTGCAGCAGTAAAAGGCCGACACACTCCGTACCCGAAAGTTGCCGCAGTCATTTTGTTGTCCGCGTAAGTCCGCCACATGCCACAGCGGGACATCACCCACTCCTTTTGTCATGAACGCTCTTACTTGAAGTATTACAGACAAAAAAAAACGAACTGCCCCGAGGCACCAACACGACCTCTGTGGCAACGCTCGTTTAAAGATAAACGGCCGAGTGGCCCACACGCAAGGGTTGGATGTGATTGCGTGCAACAACAACAACAGCTTTCTCTCGCTTAGTTTCGCATCGATCACTACCAACGACGCCCAACCATCCTGACCGCGCTACGAAACGACTCCCAACATCCGCTTCCGTCGCCGCATACCATTCGTCAAAACTAAGGAGCAGATGAATGGTATTATTAGGTCATCACTTTTTTAATCAGCGCGGACACCACACAACTATTCTGCCAGGAGCTGGCTCCAATCCGTGGTTACACGAAAGGGTTCTTCTCCCTCCCGCCCCTCCTGCGGTGCTTCGCCTTCGATTGTTAGCAACCGAACAAACAGAAAACGCGATGGTCGCTGGCGAGTCTCATGTAGTCGCAAGAACCACGGGACGCCTTCGTCGCGATCGACAGCACCAACAGTATCCGCGAACCATCCCCACCTGCTAATATGGCAGCCCTTGTTGTTGCTGACGCTACAAGTACACATCTTTGCAGAATGTAAAAGTCGGTTGGATTTGGACGTTTAGAATGGCGTGTGGTGCCTCGAGACAATCTCCACACGGCGGTACAAAGTCTGTGGTTCTTGCAGGAAGATCATGGATGGATGAAGAACGTCATACAAAGAGAAACAGCAAATGATCGACGAGGAAGGCTAGATATGCATGTCGATGACAAGCCGGCACCAGCCAACAACGTTGTGGTCTAACAGTGAAGAAAAAACATGCAAAACAACTAGCTAGCGCAAACACAACATTCAAAGACACCTACGCATACCACCTGCACGAAACACCCCAGGCAAGAAAAAGTATCCAATCAGCATGCGTCTAAAACAAAAACAAAAACAAAAAAATAGGAATAAATACTTTTAACCCGCCATCGAACGAAAAGCTAAAACAACCAAAGGGCGACGGGAGCATGGGTTCCGTCGTGATTTATCCTGCCCCTTCGGTTTCCTACCCCGCCCTGAACACAGCCCACACAACCCAGACGGTATGGTCACCATCACCTCCATGATGAGCCTCCGCATGTCTTCGTGCCTTGCAATCCCCCCAACACGGCTGAGGCTGGACAAAACCTCGAATGCGGGACCCCCCCCTCCATTCCGTTGCCCCAGGACGTGCCCCGTCCCCAACGCCACTGCGCTCTCGAGCCCGCTTCTGACACCCACCCACTACGTGTATCCAACGGTACGATGTAAAGCAAGTCACATTCTCTCAGGAAACATAAAATACAAGCGCTCTCATGATCTCTGAACCTAACCCCCCTGCTTCCCGGTCTGTCCTTCACGCGCACCCCTTTCCTTCCGGAGTGTCTATATCTCGATCAACAACGTCCTTGCAAGAGGCGCTATTACCAACTTTGCGGTTTTTCCCCCTACTTCCCCCCCCCCGGGCTACACATAAGCCTCTTTGCCGTCACGACATGCCCGCCACACAGCTAGCCACGGCTGAGCCTATCTCGTACGCCACCCCCGCGCAGCCACCCCCGAGAACGAGTGTTTCCATCCCGGATCCGAACCAGGAGCGCGAAACGAAAGTCGACTGTCGAAAGGGAACAACAACACGAGAGAAAAACGATTACGTTCGAGCGTGGCACGAACAGGAGAGATACGTGCGCTGTGCAATAATCGATACCTACTTTTTTAAGCTTCCGCAGTATCGCAACCAATCGATCAACGTGGGAGAGACTTGCAAAACATTTGACTGACCGCTGGCGGGATATGACTCCATGCCGCGACAAAAGGAAAACAAGCACGCGATAGCGCTATGCGTGGGGATTCTAAGCCTTTGCCTTGAAGCGCAATGAAGGTGAGTGAGAACCTGGACAGAGGCCGAAGCTATCAGGGGCGGCCGAGACGACCTAAACGGTAGGAGGGCTACAACAGCAGTAACAATGACGTGAGCAATCCAAGCTCATGCGCAAACGGCGCTTAGTGGGAGAGACCCTGTCAGCCGGAATGCGCCCAAAAATTCAAATGAAAGACCAACGCACACTCCGATCATTCGTCACACGGTGAGCGTGGTCGATACAAGCACTCAATCAAACCAGTGCTTAGCCGGACTGAGACTGATGTATTTCCGTATTTGGTCACCCTTGTTCGCCCGGTCGATGAAGAAAAGAAGCACACGCACACAAACGCACCTTCACGACCCCAATCGAGAAGAGAGCGGCCGCAGTCAGGAGGCAGGCCCACAAGAACAGCACCCCCTGAGACACTGGGTCCCCGCTGCTGCCGCTCGCCGAGATCAGGGGAGACAGCGCGTACGACAGCAGAGGCACGATGCCGAAGAGGGCGAACAACCCGAAGGTCACAAGGCCCTCGCGGATGGACCCGGCCTCGTCCAGCGGGGGCGACGCGAACATGGAGGACCCCACCCCCTCCGCCACCATCACCGCGTCCACGAAGCAGTCTTCGTACTTGGCGAGCCTCGCCGAGATCTCCTGGGCGTCCTCCCGGGACATGCCCCTTCGTATGTACGTGTCCACCATGTTCTCGATCTCTCCCTGGGGGTGGGCGTGGGGGGGTGGGGGGCAGCGGGATAGGGGATTAGAAACGGCGCGCGCACGCGAGTTTGGGGTGCGGGAAGAGAAGAGGGGCCGGGGGGGGATGTACTCATAGTCGTGCATGCCGTAGTCGTTAGACCATTGGCCTCGCATCCCTACAAAGCCGGGACGGAGCACGCCGGGTTCTCACCGGACCAGGCTCTCACATCACCAAGCGCAAAGCACCGTGAGGGATTCGGCGAGTCGCATGCAGGGT